CTATAACTAAGTAAAAGAAATATTAAAAATGTGTACCTGGAAGAACTTAAGAATGGTTAAGTATTTTGTTGCTTAACTTAAGGAAAGGTAAGCAGACTTTTAACAATCAAAATAAATAGGCAAAATAGGTGTGATATTATTAATAAAGGATCTAAAAGTTATTCTAATATCATTATAATATTTATCAGTGATTATGTGCATAAGTTTATTAATACTATAAAGTTAACGACATATGGTGTATGTGGTTCGTAGTCATGAAATCACTTACATCACTTTGATGATTCCATTGTAATTACTACTCTGTCGGTCATAAAAACAATAGGGTAGTTTAGATATACTTTACTACCACTGCGCATTCAAAACGATTAATGTGTTATATAATATTGTATGTAGCTGTCTAAAATTTGTTCTTATCATCTCCCATTCATTCTCAAATAGATACATATTACATAAATTCTTTGAGATATTGTAATATAAAAGAGTAACATCTACCTAGTGATGATTTTTTTATATAGATGATAACATGCAAATTCAATATGAATATACATTTTCAACTATTTATTTTATTTCTAATAAATTTGTCTTAAAATTTTCATTTAAATAAACTTAGTCATACATGTATTGCCAAAGTTTAACAAGTCTAATAATAATCTTGTTATTTATCTCGACCTGTGTAGTGTAGTGATAAAATGCTTATTTGGCTACTGTAAAAGTTTTGAGAATTTTAGCTTTTAAAATATATAGACTCTGGGTACCCCACTTGATCAAAAGTCTGGTTAATACTTTCTCTCAATCATATGAGTGGCGTGAAATTTTGACACCAATTATATTTAACATTTCCAATTTCGTTTAATCAGCTAATAGTAGTTACACACTTACGTGATTTTGACGGTTGCTAAAGTGTTGGCGTGTATGGTGCGATATTATCTTGATGTGGTCGGGGGTGCGGCGCCATCTGTCAGGCAGATGCGCTGACGTCACGCGAAGCCCCGAATCGCCGCAGGGGCTTCGCTACCACGCGCCAATCTCCCTGTGCCAGCTGACCCATCCTGATTCTCCAACCTCATACAGTTAATTACTTCCCGGTATAGGCACCTACTTATAATGTAAGTGATCGCCTACAAAGATACAGTTTTAATTACAAGTCCGAAGAACTTGTCCTTTAGAATGGATTATATTGTGACTTTTATATTTAATGTTTTCTCTGTTTCATAATTTTTTTTTCTTAAATATCTCCTATGTCCAGACCTCGTTGAGTATGTATATGTGATTGTACATATACATATTATAAAACAAAGTCCCCCGGCGTGTCTGCCTATCTGTCTAATCGTGATGGCCTTAAAAACTAATAAACAGATTTTTATGCGGTTTTTATGTATCAACAGAATAATTCTTGAAAAACTAAAAAAATATACACTATATGTGTATAATTCGTCAAGTTTTTTGTGTAAATTGATTGAAATATAACGATGATAGAAATTGGTAAATCAATATATAACAGAAAACCCTATCTATTATCTGTGATGTACTGTGAACAATATTATACAGTATTCATGATATTTGTATATGTCATTTATTACGTGAGTTATTTGTAGTTTGTGTTTAAGTTAGTTTAAACCATTTAATAAAAATAAATGTAATTTTACAAACGATGACATTGATAACACTGACATTAATAGTACATAATTGATTACTGATTTATTGTATCTTATCCATTTTGAAGTATCACCTAAATATTTTCCAAGGCTTTGTATTAGACAAAATTTTATTTTTAATATAGATTTTTATGGGTACCTACCTAATAGATAAATATACCACGTACTGTATTTTTTATAAATCGTAATTTACCAATACTATCATAAATGTAATAAAACAAGTAGGTATTTTGTAGTAACTCTCAATATAGATAATTGTATAAAAAAATTATTTTATTATATAGATTATCCAAAAAGCGCACAAAATATTTGTCTGTAAAAACTGTATATATTTTGAAAATTATTTTTTTTTAAGATTTTCATTTTTTCTATTACATACTCATACATAATCTTGCCTGCACATCATATAAGTAGACAATTCAGTTACATTCCTCATCAAAACTAGGTCATTGTCGGCTGATTTCATAGAATATAAACCCCAGTACTGTGATCTCAATTTTAGTTAAATAAATTTACTGGTATTTTTACTTATTCTTTAGAGTTCTTGTTAACGCTACGTACATAGGTCAATACCAGTACTGTGATATAAATTTTAGTTAAATAAATTTACTGGTATTTTTACTTATTCTTTAGAGTTTTTGTTAACGCTACTTACATATGCCGATACCATATATTGACGTAAATGTTCACAAGAAAATCTTTATTACAAATGATGCAACAGACGTCATAACACACTATTATAACAGTTTCACTATCGTCAATCAATATATGTTTATCTTATTTATTTAATATAAAAGATTAGGTAAAATATTATTTCCATTAATCGAAAGAGGCGGACTCTTAGAATTTTAACAGTATCTTTTATATTTATAATATTTTTACTAATATTATAAATATAAAAGAGATTTGTTTATTAACTTATAACGCTTTAAAGGCTCAACCAATCGGTAGAAAATTTGGTATACACTTATTATATGGGATGGACATGAATATAAGCTCCTTTTTATCCCAGTCAACATACATATCCCGGTCATGCAGACGAAATTGTGGATAAAACCTAGTACTCAATAAATAAATATATAATTACTACTAGTTATTTTATTTACACAACACCATCTAGAGCCAAAATAGTTTTTATATCTAAACTTTTTATAAACGGCACCGATTTATATCGAAACATACAATATATAAAAATATATACAATTTAAATACATATCCAAATCATCTTTATCACATAGACTTGATTGGATTCATAAAAAAATGACTATTTAAAAGTGCTTGTACACTTTTAGATCGTAATTTTTTTATGAATCCAATGCAGAGTTCAGAAAATTGTTATCTGCTAAGAAGAACCCGCAAGAAACTCAACAGCTACTTTTTTAAAACTCTACTCATATTAACATTGTGAGTACTATATCTAAAATTATATGATTATTAAAAAGCCTGTGCATGATAGACTAACACCATGCACATTTGTCACTCAAGCAACTGTTTAGTGTGTAACAATAGGCTTTGTTGCAATGCAAAATATGCTTCGGTATCTTATTATAACATTTAATGCCCATTCCCATAAAATACCTACATATTAAGTTTTTCTAAACGATACATCGGAATAGCAAGTTTGAATTTGTATCTAGTGTTAAGATTATTGAGATTTCTGTATTAATATTATATCATACACTATTAATCAATATTATATTTAAAACTTATGTTCATTTTTTAACATTTTTATATACATGCACTACAGAAATATTACGAGCTTATTCTAGAGGAAACGCCAAATACCTCTAGTAAATTCGTAATATTCCAATTGTGCATGTATATAGAGAATACATATTAGTTAAATCAAGACCTATTAATAAAATACTAAAAAAATATTAACCAAAAGTAAAAAAAAAATATTGCTAAAAATATTCGAACAGACCCTATTACCTGTTATGTCTCTTTATAGAAAAAAATGTACTCAAAAAGTACATGATTGACACTAACCGTAACAAAAGTAAATAAGTCTACCCTTCATTTCCGCATAGCTTATGCTGTAATACCATGTTCGTCACCTCAACTCACTTCCGCACAAATCTGCTAGGGGAACAGTGTTTAACTTTATTATAAACAATGACAAATAGATAGGATTTATTCACTGTATATTAATATAATTCAATTTTGTAACTATTAAAGTAAAAGGTATTTTGCATGCATGCAAAATCTTTAAGTTACTCAGCGAGCTGTGATTCAGCTGTGACTGAGCTGTGATTACAGCTGTGCTCAGACTTTCTTTGCGATTGATAGAATCCAAAATGAGGATATCTATAAAAGAACTAAAGTGACCGACATAGCTCGAAAGGTAAGAAAGCTGAAATGGCAATGAGATGGTCACATAGCTCGAATAATCGACAAACGATGGGAAAGGAAGATTCTTAGGTGGCGGCAGCGCACAGGCAAACGCAGTATAGGATGACCCCCACTAAATGGAGTGATGACCTCAAAGATATTGCAGGAAGTCAGTGGATACAGGTAACTCAGAACTGTTTCTGGATGGCAAGCGTGAGGCAGGCCTACATTCAGCAGTGGACAGATGGCTGATATAAGAAAAGATATTTTATTGTATAGATTGCAGGCATGAGACAAATTATAAAAATGCAAAAAGCAAAAGATATATGTAAGGATAGAAGTATTCTCTATTCTCTTTGCTTACCCCGCAAGGGAATTGGTATAAAGATAGACAGATAGATGAATTATTGTTTAATTTTCGTATAAATAATACAAAAAATCATAAAAATAATAATTTTAGAATAAACATAATAATAATACGAGTATAATAGCTATATAGAATTACAGATCAAGTAATAACTTTCGTGAGTCTATAGATATATCTAAAATTTTTATTAACGTTAGCTTTATTTGTCTATTAACTTCGTGAACCGTCCTCACGATTAAGGGCTCCTGTCGACTCTGAAATTACTCGGGTAATCCCGAAGTTAATACATAAAACATAGTAAAACTGTTATAAGTAATTGTAACTATATATACAGGAAATTAACCAAAGAAAAAGAAAAAGGTTGAACTGAATATTGAAAACAACAGTACTGTATAAACAATATAATATAATATAAGTAAATTTCGCGGTTTCATCAACGCAATATGTAAATCTCTTTCAAAGAACTTAAATTAATTATTATAATTTTAGATTCCTATAAAACATTCGAATGCATTATAATAAAAATAAATAAAATCAATTTAACATCCATATCTTTTATTCCTATCCACGCAGTCTTAAAACTATGCAATGTTTTTTTTTTTTTTATTACGACAAATTTGTATAGTAGTAGTAGTAACACAACATACCTTTCCCATCTACGAGACCTTGAGAACAGAAAATAATTATCAGTGAAAATACATTTTACACATATTACAGTATAATATTTAATTAATAGACAGTTTAAAAAACTTTTATGATCAATTTATCCATTAATTCCGTTTTCTACCACGTATGTGTATATATATATATATATATATATATATATATATATATATATATATATATATATATATATATATATATATATATATATATATATATAATGGCCAATTTGATAGAAAAATGTAACCGTCATCGTCATCAAAGTAATATCCATGATACTGTTCATAAATATGAACAGTACCATGGCCATCACAGAATTCACTGCGATGCCTATAGATCACGTTACAGGTCGCCAATCCTTAAGATTTATTTTGTTATTTTTTTTTAAGTTTTATATACTTGTAATATGGTCAATACCTAATGAATTTATGGGATAGAAAGGAAAAAGTCATTATTTCAGTTATTTTTTTTTACTATTATTGAGATAATAGAAAAATATAGAATTAGTAATAGTTAGTCTAGTATATGTTATATATATTAACCCTTTTACGGGGAGACCTAAGTTTGATAGTGGATGCTTAACGACTGACATGATGATATGTTTTATATAAGTATAGTTTAATAGTAGTTATGCAGGATAGTATTATTGAGATTATTTGCTAATAATAGGATACTTATAATATATTAGTATATTGCTATATTTGTTATTTTAATAATATAACTATGACAACCGATGATTTATTACCCATGTTTTTTTTTTTTTTACAACACAGGGGGCAAACGAGCATGCGGCTCACCTGATGGTAAGTGACTACCGCCGCCCATGATCACCCACAACACCAGCGGCATTGCAGGTGTGCTGCCGGCCTTTTAAAAAGGAATATACTCTTTTCTTGAAGGTTATGTTGTCGTATCGGTTCGGAAATACTGCTGCTGGAAGTTGATTCCAAAGAATGGTTGTGCGTGGAAGAAAGTGCCTTGAAAAACGCACGGTGGAAGACCGCCACTCGTCCAGATGATTGGGATGAAACTTTAGTTTGTGGCGGGTTGTACGGTGGTGAAAATCAGCAGCAGGTATCAATCCGAACAATTCCTCAGAACACTCCCCATGATAAATTCGGTAGAAGATGCACAGAGATGCAACATCTCTGCGCAGTTTCAGTGGATCAAGTCGGACAGTAAGGCGTTGACTATCGATAATTCGAGCCGCCCGACTCTGAATGCGGTCTAACGGAAGGAGTTGGTACTGTGGCGCTCCTGCCCACAGGTGAGAACAGTATTCCATATGCGGCCTGATTTGGGCTTTATATAATTTCAGGCGGTGTTCATGTAGATATAGATTAATAAATCTCTAAGTTAATGTATGTAGAATAAAAAGTATGATAATATAATAAATTCATAAAAACAAATATTAAATAAACACTAATCGTCTCGTCTTCTGCAGGTTGAATAAAAAAGAAAAATGTGTCATAAGGCTTATATAAAAACAATGAACTCTCACACGAGAGGCAAGCGAGTTGATTTAGCGCAGTTCATTTTGGAATCAAAGCGGAGAACTCTGACTGCGGTGGAGTTGTAATTGAATTTGGTGAACAATCCGTTTTCCGCGACGAACCTCAGTTACATTCCCAGCACGCACTTCGGAGTCAGGAGCCACGCACCTGCTCTCCTTTATTTTCTCATCTACTGCTATTTATGTCTTTCCCTATATGTTTGCTACATATCTTACGTTACAGAACAAACATAATTATTGTTACAAGAAAACATTGCTTTTATGGAAATCAAAATACATAATTTACTTACGTCTTATTTTATTATTTATTTATGTAGCTGTGCAAATAATAACAAGCCGGAAAAACATTATTATAATAATATTTTTATTAACCAGTAGTTACATTATTATAAAATATCATTTTCATTAACTATCAACAGCTACCGTTATCACCTATTGTCTATTAGTTTTGTCTTTACCTATTATTATTAATATACCACGAAGATCATTTATTATACAAAACGAAATCTAAATCAATAGCATTAATTAAGAAAAAAGAAAAGGTAAAATTTTTCGGAAAGAAACATGGATTGGAATATAACAAAAATCCTGAGCCTCTCAAAATGGTATGGATTTAATTTTCATCCCGTATATGTAGAGTTATTTAAGTTTACCAAGTTTAAACATGTATTTATAAAATTCAAGTTTACACATGTATAAGACTTTTTTTCCTGTTTTACATTATATGTATTTTAATAGAAACAGATAGTTAATAGTGTAGTCTAGACATAAATACTGTTACAATAAAAATAATAATATCACATCTACAATCGGATCATACCTCTCTCGTTGTATTTTCTGATATTTTTTTTAATATTATTTTAATATAAATATATACGTTAATTACTGATTATTTAATTAGAATTATTTCGTTTAATTTTGCTACCATTAGTATGTGTGTATCATAACCAGTGATATGGACTTCCGCAACTTCCGCAAGATAACACCTAGCTCAGTAAAATATATATAAATAATAAAATAAATATTTCAGTATTCAAATTTCTTCCACTAAATAATTAACTGATTTTTACTTAAATATACAAAAATCATACATGTAATAAGAATTACATATTCAGGTACTGATCTGCATCTTTTACCTTTCATTTGTCAGACATTGTCGAATCGAACTTAAATAGGTATGTTTAGTCAATAACTTTTTTCCTGGATGCCAAACTTTTTAGCCCCTGATCAAAAAAACTGGCGCGTGTCAGTGTCTCTTTAGCTGCGAGAAAAAATAAAAGTACAATTTCTCACAAGTATCGGTTACACACAGTAACAGATCGGTGTATTTGTAGCCCAGCGGTGTAGTCGCATAGTAATTGAATTGAGGGTCAGAACTACCCTATATGAACAATACATTTGACTTTTCTCTGGCTATTAACCACCTATTGTCTCTTAAGTGGTAATTATATTTCTATAGATTCTCAATAATTATTCTGTATAATAATAGGTACTTAAATAAATTATTACGACGGCATAGATAAATGTTAAAAACACCTGATTATTAAGAAAGTTAACTTATTAAACAGTACTTATAATTTATATGTCAAACTTACAATAACTTCTAAGAGAATCTTTTGTAACATTTATTCATAGATATGACTGTACCTATAATTATATCCAAAATTAAAGAAATATCAAAAATCTGTTTACTGTACAAATATACTTTTCAATATCAATAATACTTTTAATCTTTTTTTTATTTTAATTTCTTGCTTTCATTACTATTAAGTAAAATATACATATAATAATTTAATTAAAGATTTTGTGCAACTAAGAACTCAAAAGTAGTAAAATCATGAGCTGACATAGGATATAAATTTATCTACAAGAAGGATCATCATTAAAAATTCGCTTCAGACTTGATGAAAATGACGCAATTAAGTATAGTAATTTTTCTGATGTCGCTTATATATTGTAGGTACACTTATTTATAATGAGTAGGTATGTGATATTTAGCTAGATATATACCTAAACTATTTGTGTTATAAAACGTAGATATTATAACTATACTAAAATATATAAGTACATTTCATTTGTAGTCATTAACTTTATGTGTGGCGCACACAATAAAATATAAAAACAAAGTGTCACATCTCTCTTCTCAGCGGGTTGGCGCAGTTTGTATTTGCTCTCCTTCGGGAGGGGGTCATTACTAAACACCATTACATTTTTTGTGCCAAGTGTTTTGGTGGTATAACAAGGGTGAAAACGACCCTCCAAGTGAGCTGTACATTCAGAAACAGCCTTTGTTTTTTATCATTTATGAGAAAGCCAAATATTTTGTTTTGACTACTTAAATAATTTGATTGCTTTTAGTAAACATACACAGTTAAGTAAAATTACGCAGTCATCAGATATATATTATAATAAAAGATCGTACATAAGTAAATCTTAGATTATTATCAGTTAATCTTAGAATATACCAATATGTGTTAGTTAATGTATAGCGATTTTATAAAAAAAAGTTCCATTACTTTTCTGGTCACGAGTACGAACACACTAAATATATCTGAATTTTGTCTGTTATTGTAAAAACCCAAAATACAATAAATATAAAATTTTCTATATTTACATCAAAGATGTAGTAAATGTCAAACAATAGACAAAATTTAAACATAGTGCGTGGTATTCGTGCTCTTGATCAAAAAGATTCAGTTTTTTTTTGGAAGGCAACCCCGCCTGCGCTAAAGGTATACGCTGGCAGGGCACCAGTAAGGGATGATAAGTGAGATGACAAAGCAGGTTAGTTAGTCCATCGTCCACTTGGAATTCAGAACGATAGTTTTCAGGTCCTCCAGGGAGGACCACGTGGAGGTCGACTTGACAGGGTATATTGCTAGCAATGGGAATGTTAGTCCGCATTATTAGGTTTAGTTTGATGAATGCCCCTAAAAAGAACTTTTTTATGAAATCCTTACATGTACAAACTCATATTGTTTAATCCTAAGATGTATTGATAAAACCTGATATTTACTAAAGTACGGGTTTTTACAGTAACATGCAAAAAACACTTTTAATTTATATATTAAAAAAAAGTAAATAAGTGAGATTACGAGTCTTTTTCGGTCAGTATTTAGAAAATACTATTATCGTCTTTAAATCTCCTCAAATCTGAATACTTTAAATACTACAGCATACCTATCTGATTTTCATGAAAAATGAACACTGATGTCTACATATAATTACGTAATACCTAAATATATTTGGATTACAAAATGATGCAATTGAACAGAATTCTTTATTTTTCTTGCATATTTTGGTATACTTAGATATGTATATGTTTACATATATATCTATTACAGTATAAAATCTAAAATTAATGAGCTTTTTGCCAAGGTTTTCTCTAGAGACAGCAATTGGGTTCTTAAGATGGGGTATATTAAGGTTTCTGCAGAATCGGCAAAACACTCATGACATCCCACTTGCAGCCAAAGTTTATAGGTACCT